TGGCTGCCAAGCGCATAAAGTTGAAATTGTGCAAGTTAAATCCACCTAGGTTGAGAGTTGTTTATACTGACTGGCAATGGCTCTCCAAAGTTTTAGGCAGGAAATCTTTCCCAGACCTACCTCAAGATGCCAGGGATCAATTTTTGGACTATCTGCATGCAAAACATGTATTCTGCCAGTGAGCTATGGTCTGGTGGCCAGCTGATCTCTTCACTTCTTCTTCCGTGTGTCTGTGTTCCTGGGGCCACTTAAACTGCTTTGATGAATAGTATGTTCGCATTTGAACCAACCCTTAGCTACTGGCATTTCTTTTACCCTATGTAATGCATCAGCTTTTTTTTAATGAAGACACTGGCAAAGTTTGTGGGGTAGGAAGCCCTTGCTCTGAGAGGCATGCAGTAACAACATGCCCAGTTTCCTGATAGCAGGAGCTGATGAACAGGGTGAGTCCCACAAAGCCATGCCAGGGAAGAATGAATGGGGCAAATGAAAATGCCTGTATTTGTACACTGTGGTCCCAAGTGACTCTTCTGGCAAGTGGAAAAACATGCAAATTATACTTGAACAACAGGTAGAATGGCAGCAATTTGGTGGGGGGTAGGATACAACATATGGGAGATAATGACAGCCAATTCACTCATCCCCCACTGAAGAGGTATGTATTTCTTAAGGGAAAATATTAAACTATCCAGTGGGGGGGGGGATCCTTTGTCTGCCTGCACCAAAGTGCAGATGCATCCCTGAGTCACATCCTTAGCTTCACTTGCCATAAAAGCACCACATTCAACCATCTAAGCACCTGAAATTGAGAAGTATTTTCGCACCTGTCAGCTACTTGTTGTATTAGCTCCCACAATATCATTAACAGCATACCTATAGAAGAAAGGTCTCCTTTCAGGAGGACCTGGAAATGAGCAGTTATGCCAGATGGAAGACCTGCATTCTCTCTTAAGGTCATATTCTAGCCATCTTGAAATAACCTTTGGCCATTCACATTGCATAACTGCATCTTCCTTAAAAGAAACACGGATGATATAAGCTCTCTCACTGTCAGAGGAGAATAATTCTTTTAAGGTCCCATATTTCAATAAAATTAATTCTCTCTCAAAGGATGCTACCATCTTGCTTAAAATGGGGGGGGGGGAGACACACACCTCAGGTCTGAGAACCAAATGCTGCCCTCCACACTTCCTTGTCCAGCCATTAGGCTACTCCTAAGGTCATGCCCCCTTTCTCTGGCCACTTTCTCACTTCCTCCTCACCCTCCTTGAGAGCCTTGCCTGGCTTAAATGTTTCTTGTTTGCCTGCACGGAATAGTGTGCAAGTGGGTCCTCTCCTTCCCTTATCAAACATTTGTATGACTGGAATGTAGCCCACTGCACAAAGATAGATGTCACAAACATTTCCCTACGTACTTTGTGATGCTGTCCACCACTAGCATGCTGTATCCAGAAAGTTGCCCATGAGACAATACAACCCTCAGACTGAAATGGTTTTTCACCATTGCCTACAATGATATAGGGGACCACAGCCTAAAGGATACTAGAAAATAAAGGGGGGAAGGCACCCCAAGTCCCACTGAACAATTAGTTTCCATTGTGAAGACCCTTCAAATAAATGCCAAGATTTTGAAAACACATTAAAAAACCAGCCAGCCACTTCTGCTGTCCCAACTCTCTGACATTTAAGTACTGATTGCCAATCTTCCTGGAAATCCGTTCCTTCTTTCTCCCAACTGTTGTAATTTAGAATGAGTACCTAACCAAGCAAAGGTTAAGTACATTATGTGGCACCTCTAAGTGGTAATGAATGAGTGGTTACTTTTGTTGATGCTGAATGGTATCTATAAGAATGTAAGAAAAGCCCTGCTGTATTAGACCAAAGGCCCATCTGGTCCAGCATTCTGTTCTCAAAGTGCCCAATCAAATGCCTATTGAAAGCCTGCAAGCAGGGCAAGAGTGCAACAGCAGTATCCCCAACAGCTGGCATTTGGAGGCATAATGCCTCAGGTGCTGGAGGATGAACATAGCCATATTCCTTTATGATTTCTTTTAAATGGTGGAACGATGCAGCATAAGGAAATCTGAATGCTCTTAACCTTGTGTTTTTCTTTGTGAGGAAAGTATTGTAGTGGGGAAACACATGCAGAGAATAATCACCTGGTGGAAGAGGGTGGTTAAAACATTCCCACAGCTGTTGGTTGCCTCCTGAAAAGGTTCTTCAGTGCCATTTTTATCCCACTGGCCTATCCTCCCCATCAGCTAAGCTCAGAGAATGGGAGCAAGTTGGGTGGGTGAAAATGGGGGTTTCAGAGAGACCACTTCTAAGGGAGAAGGAATAATTTTCTGAGTACAGATTTGCCAAGGTAATGTGCAGTTCAGCCCTAAGTTCCCTGACTACCTGCCCCCTCCCCAACAAAACAGTAAGAATTTAGACAGTTTTCAGCACTTAAGAATGTAAAAAGAGCCCTGTTGGAGAAGGACAGTGGCCCATCTAGTCCAGCACCCTGTTCTCACAGTGGCCAACCAGATGCCCCCGTGGGAAGCCCACAAGTAGGACTTGAGCAGAACAGCACTCTCTCCTTCTGCAGTTTCCAGCCACTGGTTTTCTGAAGCATTACAACCTCTGACTGTGGAGGCAAAGTATAGCCATCATGGCTAGCAACCTAATAACCTCTCTCTTGTAGGAACCTCTCTAATTCTCTTTTAAAGCCATCCAAGTTGGTGGCCATCGCTGCCTCTTGTGGATTGCAGATCAAACTGGTCCAGTTCACACTTAACACTAAGCCAAACTATGGCTTAGCATGAATAAGAAAATGTGTGGGTCCAAGAGAGAAGAGGCCACTTTGCTCCTCCTCCAGCCCTGCTGTGAGCTAAGCCGCAGGTTTGCTCATGGTTTACCTCCCCAAACACGTGAGTGGCAAGCTACAGAACAAACCTTTGACTACTGTTTGTGATGTGTCGGCAGCCTAGGTTCAGACATAACACTAAGCGAAACAGCAGGGCCCCAACATGTTTGCTTGTTCCATTAAGCCATATTTTGGCTTAGAGCTACATATGAACATGGTCACCTGAAGGTTGTTGGGTTTTTTGTGTGTGTGCGTGCTACACAGTAATCTGTGAAACCTTATGGGACTTTGCTCTGCGGCCCATTGAAACCAGAAGACATTCAGCTACTTGATTATATTAATGGACGGGCATTTGGCAATGTACTAGAATGAACAAGAGAGTCCAAACTTGACACTAAGAACTGGTCTTCATTGTGTATCCTTTTGCTTATTTAAATGCTAGCTTCAGAATGCAAAAGCTGCTTTGAAGAGACCTAAAACCATATTGTGACTATTAGGAAACCCCAAGTGCATCTTTAGAGAACTTAATGCTCTTCACAGAGTACTTTACTGTACTTTACTACATCGTTCACAGCTCAATTGCTCTAAAATGTTAGCTATCTGAATGTCACAAAGGTAGTTTCTAAGCATACCCATATCCAGTTTCTGCTACTAATTACTGTCATTGAAATTTTGAACTTTTTTATCTGAGCGCAAAAATTAAATGAACTGCAGTTAATAGCAACAAGTTATTCACACGAAGCAGCCAACTGGCAGTCTGCGAAGTTGCATGCAAAGGATCATTATAGTTATTAATATCTGAAACCATGATACAACCAAGAACTCCATTTCTATTTTTGCAGCTTATAAAACAGCCAGTAGAATTTCTAGAGGGGAGAGGAACCTTTTCTCATTGTAGATACATCCACAAAGATCAGGCTCTGCCTGAATATTGACATTCAAGGGTGGTTTTGTTTTTTTGGTTTTGTTTTTTAAAAAAACAAGAACAAAAAGGGGTATAAAGGCCCAGGCAATCAGAAGCCCTTTCCATCTGTGAAGTGCATTCTCCTCCTCTTCCGCGTTGTATAAGTGACTCTGTCTAAGGCTAACCCTAAAGGTAATTTACAGCCTTATCAGTGAAAGCAACCATGGCAGATATTACACATTTTAAACCTGCATGACAGAGGGGAAAAAGAAACATTAATGGTCACTTAATCAGGAACACTCAAAACCCTACATTAGAACTCATCTGAGGCATATTAAAGCAAAATGCTGTAATTTTATGTAGCACTCTGCAATTACCACGAGGAGCCCATTATTGTTGCAAGTGACATGATTTTCAGAAACCTATCTAGGCACCCTATATAAATTGGCTGTTGCAATGAGATGTAAAAAATGCTGAAAATGCTCTTGTCCTGCAAGCTTTCATGTTCTACAAAGAACCACATGCAGTTTTTAAATGGCAAATGCTCACTTAGGTGCTGCCACGTCCATAAAATTTATGGAATAAAAGGGATAAAAGCACATTTATGTAATTCTTCCTGTGTGGCCCTGCACTGTGTTTGTCCAAGGATGCTCTCATTTCAGTTACTCAAAACTTCTTCCTTAGGCCTAGTTCTCACTGTGCCTGGGCTGGAGTACTTCACATGGCAGGAATGATTCCTACTCACACAAAACAATCATGTTGGGAAGGATACTTTAAAACCTTCTGTCCTGATAACTATTTATATTAAGTGTGAGTTATTTTCTTGTAAGGAGAATCATCCCATCAAATGGGCCTCACCTGCAAATATATATATACTGTCTCAGTGAGAAATGGGCCTCTGAGATAGTACTGTGACTAGGTATGATCTGGGCGAAGGTTGGTCAAAGGAAAAAATTGAAATTCTGTGTGCTTGTAGTTAAATGCAATGTTGAAAGTTTATTTGCCAGGCGACACACTGTTCCAGAAGAGCATCATATGTTTACTTTGATTAAGTAGAGGTCTATAACCATCTCCTCTGTGCATGTTTACCCTAGTGCAGTGCAAAACAAACTCTAATGAAGGACGACAGTACTAAGCGACTATGCTAAAGTATTCTAGTCATATTTTGTTTTAACAAAGACAGAGAAATTGTGCTTAACAAAGCAGCAACTCTTTTCACAGAGAGAAAAAAAGATTGAGAATCCTTACCTCCCAGTCCAAGTAATCACAGACATCTTCAAAATTAGTAAGTAGAGACACTGAGCAGAAAAGCCGTGGCAGCTCATCCCTCGTCATTGGGGGAAATCGGCTATCTTTAAGGGCACTGCGAAAGAAAAAAGAAAAGCGGGGGATGATTTTGATGCACCTTATTGTAAACAGAAATGTGCACTGAAATGGCACAGCTGAACATATTTTTAGCCTTAATAATAAATTATTAGCAGTAAATGGAAAGCTTCTGGACACTAAAACTGTTCTTTCCACCATATGTTTAGTTATTTGTAACATTTATCACCTTTCCTTCAAGGAATTCATGGTGGGTGGATAAAGGTTCTCTCCCTCCTTGCCAGCTGTATCTTTAGAAGAACACTGCAAGTTATATTAGGCCAAGTGAAACTGGCCAAGTTCACACATAACCTTCAAGCAAGAATGGGGAACTTGCAGCCCTCCATATGTTGCTGGACTAAAACTCCCAATATCCCTGGATGTCAACTGGGTGGGACTGATGAGGGTTAGAGTCCAATAACATCTGAAGGGCCCCAGGCCCCAGCCCTGCACTAAACCATTGTTTAGTGCTATGTGCACAAGCTGGACTGAGCCTAAGCAAAGTCTTAGGCTGACAAGCTGTCCCTTCTCTTCCTCTCGCAGAAGGACTTCTGCAGAGCTTAGTTTTACTTTACACAAATCCTGGTTTGTGGTTATGAACAGAGAAACAAACTCTGATCAGTTTCCAGATAAACCAACTTCAAACCATGGGTTATGAAACTGATTTAACTAACCAGATTATGCTGTAATCTGCAATATCAGCTTTGAGCTCATTGTAGCTTGTGCATGTAGCACTAAACCACAGTGCTATGCTACGTGCTATATTATGTGTAAACCAGGCCACTGACCAACCCAAGGCCACCCAGTGAGTTCCATGGCCAAGTGGACCTGAACCACTCTGATTCCAGCACCAGTCAGCTTAAGCAAGAGCGAAGCAACCCATGGATCAAGCAATTCATCCCCTGAAAGTGTACAAGACCATGCTCCAAATGGGAGAAAAACATTATGGAAACAGCTCTCAGCGCTAACCAAAGTCCAGAACTGACAAAGCTTTTAGATGTAAATGATTAATATTTTAAGGCTAAATATGTCACATAGATGTGCAAGTTTGATATCAGAATTTCAGTATGCAGAGAACAAATGGCATCTATTGCAGCTCTGGAGCACAAGGCGTTTTGAGGAACAGAGAAATGGTTAATCAGTGAGAAGGTTGTGAACTTGAGATAATCCACAACTGCTCCATATTCCTACTAGAGAGTACAAAGTATGACACATCACAGATTTAATTGAAGAACTGGGATAAACTGGAGAGAAATCGTTAATGACAATACATTTCAAACAATATTTGAAAGAACATCGGAGTACAATATTTGGAAGAGGCAAGCGCACAAACCTGAAGAGCAGAGAAAATCTGTATGTGTGCTCACTTTTACCTAGGGGTGAAAGTTTGCTCCAAATGTTTCTTTGAAAATTGTGATGTTGATTACAACAGCTAGCCTCTGAACATAAAAACCTGTCATAATGTGCAATACATTGGTACTTAATTCGTTCCGGAGGTCCATACTTAACCTGAAACTGTTCTTAACCTGAAGCACCACTTTAGCTAATGGGGCCTCCTGCTGCTGCCGCGCCACCAGAGCATGATTTCTGTTCTCATCCTGAAGCAAAGTTCTTAACCCGAGGTAATATTTCTGGGTTAGCGGAGTCTGTAACCTGAAGTGAATGTAACCTGAAGTGTATGTAACCTGAGGTACCACTGTATCCATATTTGATACCCAGTTATACTGCACTTCAACATTTGATGTTATTGATTTATTACATTTATTTCCTAAAGACACCCATAGAGTGTGACATCATATCCCACATAGCAGCTGACCACATAAGCACTAGGCCTGGGCTATATATCAATATATTGCCTAGGAGCAGTATGAGGAGCAGACTGTGATGTCGGCTTCATTCAGCAGTATATCGCTGGTGAAACACCACCACTCCCGAGTTTGTCTGCTAATGACTTCCTCCAGCGAGTGTTGCTAGCAGAGGGACCCAGGAGTGGTAGCAGTTTCACCAGCGATATATTGCTGAGTGAAACCCCAATCCCACTCTGCCGATACAGCTTGTTCCTCCCTCTGCATCTTTAAATACAAAATCTCAACTTGCATTAACTGGTTCTCCACCACCACTTTACAAAACTGTGATCAGCCATGTGCAAATAAGACCCTAGCTCTTTTTTTACCTGTTGCCTCAGTGGCTTCTAGCTGCACTGGAGTACAAAAGCACTCTGATTAAGTTGAAGCTGTGCTAATCAGCTGGATGCAAACCAACCACAGGGCTCTCCACAGGGCAATCCTCCCTGGGTGTGAGCCACGTTATAAACTCCACAGCATTGTTAACAGCTGTGACCAAAAATGTAACAAAGCAAGGCTCCTGAAGCACAGAAATGCCTGTGAAGTAACCACAGATCCATCTGGACTAAACAAAATGCAGTTTGGTGGAGTTTTTTCCACATCTCTCTGGGGTGGAAACCTTCGTCTATGGTAAATTACATGTTTGCTTTAGATAATTGGCCATCAGCAAAAGAGCTGAAAGGACAGTGAGTTTCTTGGGACAATTCAGAGGTGTACATTTTGCTGCAGGAACATTTGTTCTGTTTGAACTGAGTGGTCAGCCATTACTACAGGAAGACAAAACAATGTTATTGGACAACACATGCAGAGGCACAGGCAGAGAAAGATGAAGAATTTTTTTTTGCTGAATTTAAATGACAGAGATTTAAATGAAACTATCCCAGGAAGAACATGACAGCGAGGGAACGCTAGCCTGGACCCATCCATCAGAGAAGCAGCAGCTGCAAGTAGCTTGCTCCTCTTTCTACCCCGTCGCCCCCAAGATGAAGAACTCTCTCCTCCTCCTGCCAACTGCAGTTGCCTGGGGATTGTGAAAGTTGAGGCAAAGCACACTCTGGCCTCTGCTGCCAGTCAGAGGAACAAGGGCTGCTGGGCCAACTATATCACCTTTTATTCAAGTAAGACCACCAGCAAGAAGAGGTCAGCTTGGTGCCAACTGAAATTTCTGTTCACAAGGTTGCTTCCTGGCAACCTGGTTATTGAGCATTCATCCAGATTTGCTTGCACAGAGGTTATATGACTTGCCAACTGATTGTTTCCCCACACTTTCTAGTGCATTTTTTTGTCACTTGCCTTAACACAAAAAGTCCTAAATTTGCCAGATTGCAGCCGATTCCCTCCTGCAAAATAATGACAATCTGAAGGGGACCTTGGTCATCACTTTGCTTTGGGATTCATCTTCCCTTGTGTGGCCACAACTCCACTTCCCAGCATCCGGTGTGAGGAGGAAGGGATGAAGGAGGCAGAATCAAAATGTCATCAAAGGAACAATTGTGCTTTCTGACATTTCCAAGTAATACTTTTAGGATGAAATCCTGAAAACACCAAGACCGACTGAACACAGTGAGAACTCCTTCTAATCTAAGTAAATCCAGTTAAGACTGAGCTATTAACTTATAATATTAATATAAATAAATAGAATCACAGAAATGAAAAGCTGAAAGGGGCGCTGAGGGTTGTCTAGTCCAACCCCCCACAATACAGTAATAGCTTTATATTTATTTGGATTTGCAGTGTGGTTGTGTGTTAACTACAAACTGCAATACTTTGCCTGGTCAAAGATTATGCTAACATACCTCTTCCTTTCTAATTTTAAAATTTACCCTTAGCAGTGAAAATGCCAAAATGGTTTTAAAAACCTTTTAGTTTCTGAGGGCTTCCAAACAATGAGAGAAAGTCCAAATGGATAGCTTTTGACATTTGATATTTAAGATAGTCTGCAAAATGCATAAGTAGTCATCTCAGTCCACAATCTACAGGACAGCACCTATTTTAGGATTAATAGGTGGCCAACCAGGTGGTTGTGGGAAGCCCACAAGCAGGACCTGGGTGCGACAGCAGCACTCTCCCCATTTGTGATTCCTAGTTACAGGGATGAAGTTAAAGCAATAACAACTACGTTCAGACACAATTCTGAACTATGGCTTAGCATTACATAAGCAGGACTGGGTGAGCCATAGGCTTACAGACTCCCTTATTTTCTGTTCTTGCTAACTGCAGTTCAACTTCAAACTGTGGTTTATGAAGACGGCTTGTTTCAATAAACTATAGTTAAGATTGACTGCTGCTTAAGGTCTCACTTTTTGAAATCATGACATTTCATAGGTATGTGCTACAATGATCCACCTACAACTTTAATTATGATTTCAGCAGACCCGTTGTTAGTCTAATCTGACTAACTCTGGGAATAAAGGCTACAAACCTGTGCTTTTGGTGGCAACGATTTCAGATTAAGAGTACTAAGCATAATAGTACACTTTTAGGGACTGCATAAATAACAGCATGACCTCAGTTATGAAAATGATACGCAAATGGTGTTTCATGCCACCAATATACATCAGTGACATACTGTTCTCAGTTCAGGACATACCTCCAACCCAGCGCTGCATACCAAACCAGTTCCCCACCACCATTTTGGGATCTTGCCAAATGCGAACAAAAAGTTTTGAGACAGCAGCTGCCTCTCATTTCAGGGCTCGGAGGCATGTGGCTGCCTGAGTAAGGCTTTAAGAAACATAAAGGTAAATGAAAATTAGAAAGCTACCCTACAAAATAAATGGCCAATACAGTGGTATACAACCCAGTGATACTAGCATCACTGAATAGATTTGAGAAGTGTACTCCTACTTAGTACTACTTTCCAGTGCAAAGCCAGTGGTGGAGCACTTGCCCAAAACCATTGGGGAGGAGTGCTAATGGCATGGCTCTGCTGCCTGGAGCAGAAGGCAGGAAGAGGCATGACACTACTAGCAACTGAGTAGAAGCTGGCATGAGTGAAGCATTTTTTTAAGTGCCCACAAAGATGTACGCCGGCAATAACATAAAGAAAGTTTCACACCCAAGTGAGGGTGAGTGACAGCTTCTGCTCTCTTTGCTAACAGAAGACATTTCAGCAAAACATGATTGGAGTGAATCAATGCCATCATCACTGCCATCA